AATTTTGATTATATTTTTGGCATTTTGGTGAAAAGTGATATTTTCGAATTCTTGTGAAAACAGCCAATTGCTTTGACACTAAACATATTGTTTATTTTCTAATGATATCTTCAGTTCTTTAAGGATGTAGTAGACTTAAAAGTCACTTTTTATACATTTTTTGTTTTATTGTATAGTTTGGTGGCATTTGACTACCTGCAAACAATGGGTGTGTTTCCCACTAAAAATCGTAACCAATACACTAAAAATCGTAACCAATACACTTTAAATCTGGGTTTGTTAAGGAGTGGGGCAGCACAATAGTACACACAGAGACGGTGTTTGGGTACAGTAGGGGGTATTTATTACTAATCTAAAAACTCACATTACTACTACTGATGAGATCAGTGGTCTGCCCCTTTAACAACTAGCGTTGGAAATGTCAAAGGTGACAGTTCAAAGGTGATATATAAATCACTTGTAAGGCTGATCCAGGGGATACCACTGGTAACTGTTGTATGTACTACAAACCGAAAACACTACGAATGAAATTCCCCCTAAAGGGGGGAAAAAAAAGGAAAAAACAATCTCATAACTGGCAAGAAAACAAAAAAAAACGAAAGTACTGTAAAACCAGAATTCAGCAGACTTGTAAATGATAAAAGACAATAGGAATTAATGTTACATAGTTGATAATATAAAGACTGTAAACATTGCAACAGAAATATCTCAAAGCTGTACATAATTAGGAGATGCAAAAAAACAAAAACAAATCACAAATATTGTACAATGTCAAGGCATATTAAAGTAAATATTAAATGCTGTAAATAGCAGTAACAAGAATCCCTTACAAGCCAGGGTGGGAAAAGGGTGGGTAAGCAGAGAAGGCACTGTAAACTTGGCGGCTGCAGCAATCGCAATGATATTAGTTTGAAAATGCCACGACTTGTGAGTTAGTTTATTTACTTAAGTTAATCCTCAATTAAAGGTCACAAAGTGGGTCTCTGATTCGTTGATCAATATCGTATTTGCATGTGACCCATGACCTGCAGGCAATAGACCAAACCCTAATTTAAAACTGGTTATATCATAACCAAGCCTTAAATCTGGGTTTGTTAAGGAGGGGGCAGCACAATAGTACACACAGAGACGGTGTTTGGGTACAGTAGGGGGTATTTATTACTAATCTAAAAACTCACATTACTACTACTGATGAGATCAGTGGTCTGCCCCTTTAACAACTAGCGTTGGAAATGTCAAAGGTGACAGTTCAAAGGTGATATATAAATCACTTGTAAGGCTGATCCAGGGGAGACCACTGGTAACTGTTGTATGTACTACAAACCGAAAACACTACGAATGAAATTCCCCAAATTACCCAAACACCATTAGTGAGTAGGGAGGTTGGATGCAAAGCGCTGTGATGTTTCAAGACGGAGTGGAAAAGAGGGGTGGAGATATTTACGGAAAGCATCACTTTTCCAATCACCTAACAATTTTATGAGCTCAGATGGGATACCAGACCGTAATGCCCATGAGGCCCCTCCCCGCCGAAAGCTGTGGGTGGAAAATTGCGAGATGTCAGACACTAAAGGTGTCAGCAAGGAGACAAGACGCTTGGTAAAAAGAGGGGCAGTGACTGGGTGGGGGGGGGGAGGTAGCAAAGGGTTGGGTTCTCAGGGGGACCAGGGGTAATGAGGAAGGCCGATAATATGGCAGCCGCAGGGCAGAGAGGATGGTTTGGGACCATTGGTAGTGGAACTAACAACAGGCGCTCCTTAGTTTGAATGGTTTTTGACCATCGTACTGTCAGAGCTAGGCCCCATGAGAACACATGAAAGTCTTTCCGCATAATGTGTCGAGAGGGGTCAAAATCTTTGCAGGATTTTGGCAAAACATTAGATTTGCGCAACAAACCAAAGAAAAGCAACAGGCAAATCGCCCAGAAAACTGTGTCCTCCAAACTTGAAAACACAAGCTGTGCACGAATCCCTAACAAGAGTGACGGAGTAATGGGCAGCTTACGATGCACAGCAGTGCCTTTACATCTGGCAATGCCCTTCAAAATAGACTACAGACGCCAGTTCCCTGTCAGTGGATTGGGAAACCCACACTCAATGTGCAGAATGCGAATAATGTTAAGATATTGTTTTATGGAATTGACAGCCAGACGTCTGGCCAGGTAAGCTGCGTATCTGCACAAGACAAGCTCATTTACTGGGACTGGAGCGTATCCAAATTGAATGCAGAAGGCGAGGTAGGCACGACGGTGGGTGGAGTATGTGGATTTAGTTGAGGCTGCAAAGGTGTTTCCTCTATACATGGCAATTTCCACATCAAGTTCTTGTTCCAACCTTTCCAATTTAGAATCTGTGGAAGGAGGTGACAGAAACTAGCATGAGACATATGCTGCTGAAGGCTTGGGGTAGATGTAAAATGGGTGGTGCGGTTTTGAAATGGAGCAAGCAGGCCACATAACCGAGCATACTGGCCTGGCTGATGCAAGCGCGAGATGGCATCTGGGATATGATTAAGCTTGCCCGGAACATGAATAGCTGATATGTTAAAGTTATAACAAACCGATAACCAGAACAGCTCGCGTAAAACACCCATCACTAACCTATGACGGGATGTGCCTTTGTTAATATTGGCTAGCGCTACCATACTGTCCGTATGGATGAGAACTGTACAATTGCGCCAACGCGGAGCCCAGCGTCGAGATGCAAGTACCACAGAGAGCACTTCCTTGTGGTTTATATGCAAGGTTGAGGCTTCTGGCCAGTCCAGGCCCCATTGGGTGTATTGCCAGTCACCCCTATAGAAAATGCCTGAGGCCTCAGTAGATGCATCCATGTGCACATCGGTAATTGGACGGGGGTCTATAAATTTGTGCGTACCATTAAAATATGCAAGATATTTAAGCCACCAATTGATATCAAGCTGGAATTCGTGTGAAAGCAAAATTTTGTGAGAGCTTTTGTTGAGAGTGTAAATGTCATCAAGTACACGCCGGAGGAAAGTTCTACCTCCTTTGATGACATGACAGGCCCAAGCAAGTTTGCCGGCAAGGCATTGCAGTTGACGGCGGCTAGCGCGTTTGCGTTTTGAAAAATCGTGCATTGTGGAAAGAAATTCCGCGAGTTTTGGCGAAGGCAGCTGAAGCGTTTGGTGTACTGTGTCGATATCTATCCCTAAGAAGGTAAGTTTCTGAGAGGGGCCTACCACTTTCCCCCAAGCAATACGAAAGCCAAGTCGGCGGAGCAAGCGGAGAATGGTATTCAAGGCCAGTTCACACAACTCGTAAGTCTGCGCGATGATGAGAAAGTCATCTAAGTAGACGACCATTGCATCATAACCCCTCCGTGCCATCATACGCCTAACACTTTGGGTAAGCCTGTTGAAAATATACGGAGCTCTGCGTGCCCCAAAGGGAAGGCGGGTATCAGTCATATAAGTTGGATTGTCCTTCTCATTAAAAAACCATTGAAGCCCGGTGGCTGGGTAATTAGAAGGGTGGATTTTTACTGATCGGTATGCTGACTTGAGGTCAACTTTAGATAAATAGCAGCCAGGAGTAACCAAATTAACGGCATCATCAATGGTTTGGTACTGGAAGGAATCGTGAGGGGCATAATCATTAACAGCTCTCCCTTCAGGCTGGCTGCAGTCATGAATTAGGCGAACATCTGCAGAATTGGGTTTGGGGATGGCCCCCAATGCACTAACAATAGTGGGTTTGGTTGGGGTTATGATGTAATGACCGTCAATAAGTTCTGACCTAAGCTGTTTTTCCACCTGCTGTCGAGAACTCACCGTGGCAGACTTATAATTGGCAACATGTGCTGGTTGGAATCGACTTTCTGGTGAAACGATATGGAACCCATCACGAATCCCCTCTAACAAGAATTCTTTGTCTGGATCATCCTTAAGCTCAGATTCCCATTCCGAAAATGTTAAGGCAGATGAAAAGGCAGGGGGAGATATCGACACAGGACTACCTAGTTTTTTGAGTGCGCAATTTTTGGATGCAGTTTTCCACAGAGAGGTTCAATGCAAATATGAGAGTATATGCATTTGTCGCCAAATTTACAGTTGCCTCTGTTATAACCAATACAAATGGGTTTTCCAGTGGCTTTGTCAATAGGAGATTGGGAAGTATGCCCATTAGATGATTGCCTACTATTTGCCATTTTTGACACTGATGTAGTAAAAGATTTTTCCTTCAAAACAACTGTGTTTATGTGGGGGATATCACTGCCCCATTGAAACTGGTGTATAGCTTGATACTGTCTGTATTGACGATCATAATATAACACTGAAACCCATGAGTATCTATCAGCCAGCAAAGAAATTTTGTCAGTATATGCTAAATAATAAAAAAATTCAGTAAGTTTCAATGCACCTGTACGCACAAGTTCAGCCATAATACGTGCATTGGCACTGAACCATTGTGATGGGAATAACGTTCTCAAGTTTGGGTTTCTTACATTCTGTCTCAAAAATAA